AATGCAAAACTGTTTTATAACATATATGTGTACACACTGCACACAGTTTAATAAGTGGCTTAAGTGATTTTAAGGGTGTGTGACAAGAATTAAGACCTATCTATTTGTGAATACATAAAAATGAAGTCCATTTACGATGTGTAAAGCATCAGTCTCCAAACTAGTCATTAGAGAGTCCATTATTTAGCAAGCCATTAGGATATGTCACCTGAAAATAGCCGGGCTCAATCATTTTTCAAAGATGGTAGTCGTAAATCTTGGCTTGTCACATGGCTCCCTGTGGACTAGGTTTAGAGATGCAATTGAATAAGGTGACATAAAAGAAAATAAGAGAAAAAAAGTGACTATAGCGTGGGTGAGTAGATACGGTTATGTTACAAATTGATGGCAATGCTGTGATGCAAACTCACTGGAAAAGGATGTTTTGAACAGTCTGTGAATAATTTACCAACGCATCTAATTTATCATGAGTTTCAATAATGGCCTTTATACTTCCTTTTTGTTGACATATTCAATATGCTATGCATGAAGAAAATGAAAATAGATGTAAAAAAATATTAACAGATAGAGAATATTTTCTGTTTGTTATGAACAGTGAAGCTTTTATTGAAAAGAGAATGTGCTCTCATTACCAGTGCTCTTTGGAAAATACTCTTTGCCTGGCTTATCCTCTGGCTTCACTACATAATGAGAAACTGACTTGAAACAGGTATGCAGATCAGAAGGTTCGACAAGGATAATGGGATAACTAATGGATAAGTAAACACGTGTTTCTCGGCAAGAGCCTTTCCTCATATTTTCCTGATATCCTGCGCATACATCAGGCCCAGCCATAGAAAAGAAGTGGCTTGGCCCCAGTTGGAACAATGTCCTCTGGCAACCTAGTCGAAGATGACAAAGTTCACTTCTACCTTTCCCCTGAGCTGAGATGAATAGAACTTGCACATTTGCATGTACAGTGTTCTTTATGTATGGCGTGGGTTGGAAAAAGGACAACTGCTGTCCATTTTCCCCCAAGGCTACAACCTTTAGTTCTATGGGAAGACAGAACAGGATGAGGGGGGTGATTGGGATTGTTGCATCATGATTTAAGTAGAACTTCAGGCAAAAATATAAAAAATATTATACTCACCCTATCCTTGGAGCTGGCAGCGCTCCCTCCAGTCTTTCTCCTCCACTGCAGCGATGGTATGTCCCTCCGTGTCCTCACATACAATACCTTGTATTGGACGTGATGGCTCAAGGATCCTTAGCCTGCTGCAGTGGAGGAGGAGAGATGCTGGAAAAAACGGTCAAACAGCAAGCCAGCTCTGAGGATTGGATGAGTATAACTTTTTTATTTTCGCCCCTGGACACACACAAGCAGTTAACCCTTAGGTTGCCCCACTGCAAAGGTTAATAATATTTTTGGCAAGGGTTCTGCTTTAAACCAGTGTGATGTAGTCATATTGAGCATGGTAAAACAGAGCCAGGCTTTCATTAACATTTTGGTACCCAAAATGCGTTCTACCATTTAGAAACCAGTAGCGTATAACTCATCAAATGAGAATGTTATGCTGCAATTTCTCCCTTTTATAAAGGCACTCAAATCACATTTCTGGTAGAATGCACTTTTCAATTTGGCACTTGAAATTTTTTTTCTATATGAACATGCTTCTATACTAGAAAACATGTTTCTTTCTGAACATTAAATAAAAATCAGTCAAAGCAAAATAGCAATGAAAGGCATGAATGAGTTGATAAAAATAGGATTAAAGCTCTGGTATCACAAAGATGGACATCATCACGCACGGGTGTGGTGACGTCACGCGCGTTGGCGTGGAGTCACGCCGGGGTGTCTACCCGTATCCGCTCCGGGTGACACGCGGCCTCGGGACTCCCCTGTCTCCCTGTAAAACCTCCAACCCCAGAGCTCAGGAAGCAGGAATGCAGAAATGTAGGGAAGGTGGTGAGAAGGAATGTGGCTTTGTAAATATAGATGTCTGAGGGTCGGGCTACTGAATGTGCAAAAAAAATGAACTTCTCTTATTTTATCTCTTTTTCTGTTTAAGAAACCATTTCAAGTATTTTGTTATATCTGTTTTATAAGCGCAAACAAACCATTTTGATCTTGTCACAAATTCAGAGCTGTCCTGTGTCCTCTCCACATTTTCTGTGTTATCTCAAAGAGGCTCCTATTTCTTATCTTTGAATACAGAATGATTAGCCTTTATGTTGTAGAGAGCTAAGAGCGAGTGTGGAAGGATAGTTTAGCAAAAGACACTAGACAGGGCTGACACCAATCAGTGCAGCATAATACTATGTGCACTGTGTGTCAGCAGTGGCAGACCTACAGAACAAAGGGCCCTGGTACAAGATTTTTTCCTGGGCCCCCTATCCTCAGGCCCCAGGAAAAAAAAGGTTTAAACTTCAGTTTTAATTTAGGGCTGGTCCTACTGATTGATGACCCTGTCCCAGTTGTTTACCATCTCCCGAAAGCAGAGAAAAACTGCTAGGCCTCCACAAGGATTTCTATTGGCTCCTTTAAGATAGGATTTGTAAATGGTTAGCTTTCCATCAATAGCAACTTGTGAGGCATCTTTATGGATATAATAAGTATAACAACTATCTTTTTTTATAGTTCGTTTATGTTGCAATCTGACTTTATGGACTGCAGTCTGGAAATTTTATTCACCTCCCTTCCTCACTGAGCCATAGACGCGCTTTGTTTGCACATTAGAGTACATATTCTTTGGATTTAAAGATATTTTGTACTACTATATTTTTAATTTTTCTTGTATGCTTTTTTTGTTGTTTGGCCAAACTTTCCCAAAAAGGTTTGAATATGGGATGGTAGGAGATGCTCAATGTTTTTGTAGCTGGAAACCTCTTTTCTGGTATGGTTGTAATCAGGGGCGTAACTGTAGATCATGGGGCCCCCTAGCAAAATGTTGAACTTCCTTGAACTTCCTGTTGAATACAAAATTATAAGGGACAGTGCAGACTCCAGCAGCAATCCATCTACTAGCTTGGAGAAGGGAGTAGCAGGCAATGGATTGCCTTGCATGCCGGTGTGTTTGTAGAATTACACAGCACACACGAGGGTGGTTCCATGGGCCCCTGCAAGGGAAGGGAGACACCCTAAAGCTGGCCATACACCTTACAACCATTGCACGACTTTCGTTGTGCGATGGTTCTAAGGTCATTAAAATTTCGTACGACCTGCCAATCTTGGACAGGCAGATCGTACTTGCGATCATCACAAGCCCTCCCCGCTGAGGGGAGGGCTTGCCGATGATTGCAATGCTGAGCGGGCAGTGTGCGCTTGCGC